CTGATCTTCAGCTCAGAGTGTAGCTTTCAAGAATATTTAACTTTCAGAAATCTAATATCAATAAAAAGCATGTGTAACTTAAAGCTTACTGCAATAGGAGTCTGTTGACTAAGCAACAACCTCCTGCCTAGACTTTTAGATAATAAGTATTAAGAAAATGATCAGACCATTGATATTTTTCTTTCTCTTTATATTATCTATTATTTTATTTAAATAATACAATGTTAATAATTTTGAACATAAGCAGACATGAGTGTATAGAAACAACACTATGTATTAAGTTTTATAAGACTAGCCAATAACTCAGCATTGCCTGATATTTATTTATAGAGGGAAAATGTCCAGACCGTAATTTCTAATGTTGGATTTTCCCCCTTACCAGAGGGAGCCCCCTTGTGGAGTACTGTGAAGCTGTTACCATGGCAACTCCACTGTGCTGCACAATAGAAGTCATTTTATGGCAGTACAGTAGAAGCCATGTTAAGGCACAACAGGCTATATCTTAACAGAACACACACACACACACACACAGGGGTTTTAGGGGTGTCTTACCTCTACAGTATTTGTTTTCAGAGAGTAAGTCATCTATATAACAAATTTGGTTGAGATTGCTTGAGGTGTTCCAGAGTTATGCTGGAACATACACACACAGCCATGTGTGTGTGTGTGTGTGTGTCTGTGTCTGTGTGTATGTAGAGATATATAGATATAGATATAGATACACATACACACAAAAAAAGAAAACCACCAGAGCAAGCAAAAGAATTTATCACTGCAAATTGAAGGCTCAAGTGATAAATTTTAAAAGGCCAAGGAATGAGCTGAATGAGCCCTTGTTTCTGAGTGCTTCATTTTCCATAGCTTCTCCTTTCATAAAAGGAAAATATTAAAAGTGTTTTGGAAAGTTATTTTGGAGGGTTTGTAGCCGCTTATCATTGTTAAACAAAATATGTGTGACTACTAGAAAGAAGACCATTCCTCATGGCTTGTACAAACACGAATCCAAATGGTAGGCTTGCACTGTCCAGTGCAGTAGCAGGAAATGGTAGGAGAATCCAGCAAGATTACTGAAGCTCTTGTTGCTCATATACATTTCCAATAGGGGTGATTTATTATAAAGATTGGATTGAGGCTGACATCTTTTGGCAACTGATTAAATTAAATGCAGTATTAAGCAATTCTGAAATCCAGTAACACTTTTGAAAAGATGATAAACATATAAGAGGTGATACTCTTGATTTATTTAATGTTCACTGGCAGTGTCTAGCAATGAATGTACTTGTGGAGATGTATGGCAGAGTACGCTAATATGTGCTAATTAATGGCTTGTGAAAGCAGTTGTGAGTTCAAAAGTAGGAATAAGGAAAAATATATGATACATGAGGTGGCAGGCATCTATATTAGAAGGCAATCAGCAGACAGAATTATTGAAGGACAGGTAATAGGAGACCACCAATAGGTGGCAATTTTTTTGACTTTCCAAACATGAGAGAGTTTGTTTTTTAAAAAAAGGGAAAGACAGAAAAAGATAGGTCATACACATAAACACAAATAAAGGATTTTATTTTGAAATTAAAAGCCAGGAATTTAAAACTGGACTCTCTTTGCACTTATTGTAAACATATCCAGACTTAGAGTAAACTTATCTAAAGCTATAAGGCTTAGTTTTAATCAATACTAAGATAACTGTTTTGGTTTCAGTGGGTCTTTCCTAATAAGACTGGCCAAACACAATGCATAAACTATGCAGAATTGGCCCCAAGGTCCTTTCCAACACTGTTGTTCTGTTATAGTTGATATACTTAGGATAATGTCCGATTAATTGCATTTGCAAATGGCCGTTTTGTTAGATGTGCAAAAAGCATGTTGTGATTAAAGTAGGATGTAAATGTGATGTTATATTATATTCCAATAATTTGAGATCAAAGAAAAATGGATCTATGGGCTAGATAGTTGTCTATTCCATCAAAATGACACTGGAACACTTAACTGAAGAGCCAGGTTGGAAAACATGAGTTGACTTTCTACAAAAAAAATTAGGCCTCTGACACTGGATGTTCTAATATTACTCCATGATGCGGTCAAGATTTAGTTTGTTCTGTAAGATCCAAGTTTGCGTTTTATATATTTATTTCAATGTGCGTGTTTGAATTTCATTCTTCATTCTTCGTTTGTTTTCATTTGTATCTTTTATATACTGTCAATTTTTAGGAGGTTGTTTTTCAAGAGGCTGAAGCCCTGAAGAAGCTTCTTGGATGAGAAGTGAAACGTCTTCAAAGAAAAACCATAAAGTCCAGTTGCCTCTTGAAAAAGCACATTTGAGACAACGTGACCTGGATAACTGAGAATTTCCATAGGAGGCTGTTGGTTGTCCTATTTTTAAAAATATGGTAAGTTTTAACTGGTTTTCAGAGTAGTAGTTTTTTAAAGAGCTCCAATGGTTTTCCTAGGTTTTCCTGTGGTTTTCCCAGTTGCAATGTATGGCTGTGAAAGTTGGACCATAAGAAAGGCTGAGAGCCAAAGAATGGAGGCCTTTGAACTATGGTGCTGGAAGACTCCTGAGAGTCCTTGGACTGCAAGGCAACCAAACCGGTCAGTCCTAGAGCAGATCAACCCTGACTCCTCTTTAGAAGGCCAGATCCTGAAGATGAAACTCAAAATACTTTGGCCACCTAATGAGAAGGAAGGGCTCACTGGAGAAGAGCCTAATGCTGGGAACGATTGAGGGCAAAAG